CCTTTTCAAAGCTTTAATGAAGACCAGGCCAAGACATATGACTGAGTTAGCTACTGTTCGATCCAGCCCCAAAGAGACAATCAGAAAGTAGGTGCCCAGAGTTATTGGGAGTTTGCCAGAACATAAATTAAAAATAAATAACAGGTGTTTCCCAAAGAGGTTGTCGTCCAACTAGTATTATCACTAAGTCCCAGAAAAAACACAGTGCCAAATAAACAGCTTAGGCAATTTGACATATTGCTATAGCTTTTGATTGCTGCCTTATTGGAATTGAGTAAGCAGACCAATGAAAGAAACTAGGTTGCTATAGCTTGGGACTCCCTGCTATCTGATGAGCAAGGATAACCTATGTTCAGCTGGAATGCCTGGGGCTTGTTTTCTCTCTTGAACTGGGGGGAAAAAAATCAAGAGCATGATCTTTTAGAAAAAAGAAAGGTAAGGATGCAGATTTACCTGTTTGGAACATTGAATAAACAGCTTTTCAGTGTTACTGTTTTTTGACATGATATTTATACTACCCGTGCAATGATCCCACATGCAGGTGCTTGTTCTATTTATTTAGTGTTGAGATAGAACATTTCGGTAATAGAAGTAGTCCTAAACTTACAACAATTCGCTTAGTGACCGTTCAGAGTTATCACGGCACTGAAAAGTGAGTCGTCGAAAGTGACTTGCAACCAGTCCTCGCAGTTATGAACATAGCAGCATCTCCATGGTCATGTGATCAAAATTTGGATGCTTGGAAACCGGCATTTATTTATGAGGGTCACAGCATCAAAGGATCAACAGTCATGTGATCACTGATTTTTTAGCCTCCCCAGCCAGCTTCTGACAAGGAAAATCAATGGGGGAAGTTGGATTTGCTTTATAGCCATGTGATCCACTTAACAACTGCAGTGATTTGTTTAACAGCTGCATGGCAAAAAAAAAGGTTATAAAATTGGGCCAATTAATTTAATAGCTATAAATCGAGGACTGCCTAAAGTTTGGGTCATCTACCTCACCCATGCAACATAGTTTGGCATTTCTAGGTGTGCTTTTTCCCACACAACCTCGCTGTACTCAACACAAAAAGTCAGCCCCACCGTTCTTCGGTTCTCTTTCCTAAATCCATCCTCTCCCTCCCATCTAAGGTTCTCAGATTCGCCTCCTCACATTTAATTGGCAGAAAATCTAGAAAATCTAAACTTATCCAAAGGGATCATAAGGTTTAATAGTTATTAAAATGTCTTTCCATGTGAAATACTTTTCACATCAAGGCATCTTTGTTGGTAAAGATTATGGGACTGACAACCTTGGCCACTTTAATTTGCTGCACGTTATCAGTAGAGGAGTAGACACAGACAAGCGAGCTCTCTTGAATCATCCATCTTGATTTATCTTCTCCCAGAGGATTACTGGCTAAGGTTCCAAGAAACTCCTGAATTCCCTGGACACTCCAGAAGACAGGCTTAGGATACAGGACCTAGACCTGTCTGAACTTGTGACCCACGATAGATTGTTTTACTTTAAGTTACCACTTTTTTCGTTCCAAGATGTAAATCCGTTCTTTTTGGTTTACATGTCCATATCATATCCCCCATGGAACGAGTTATCATCATTGACACTCTCCCTAGAGCCTCAGGATCACCTCAATCATTTAAATATGAGCCAGCAGTGTGCTTCAGCTGCCAAAAAAGCCAACACAGTGCTGGGCTGCATTAACAGAGGGATAGAATCAAGATCACGTGAAGTGTTAATACCACTTTACAAGGCCCTCGTAAGGCCACACTTGGAATACTGCATCCAGTTTTGGTCACCACGATGTAAAAAAGATGTTGAGACTCTAGAACAGTGGTTCTCAACCTTTTTAATGCCGCGACCCCAACCGGTCGTAAGTCGAGGACTAAACCGGTCGTAAGTCAAGGACTAAACCGGTCGTAAGTTGAGGACTAAACCGGTCGTAAGTTGAGGACTAAACCGGTCGTAAGTCGAGGACTACCCAACCGGTCGTAAGTCGAGGACTTTTCCTGCCCGGGAGCGCCATGCATGCATGGTTCCGCCCCCTGTGCCGGCCGAGGCGTAGCTGGCAAGCGGCAGAGACGGAGCAGGCCGACCACCAGCTGGCCCAGCCCAAGGGAGGTAAGGCACCCACCAGAAAAGGGGGAAAAAATGGCGGACAAAAAAAATGGCGGACAAAAAAAATGGTGGACAGCCTTGCTTGGCGACCCCCATGAAATGGTCGATCGACCCCAAATGGGGTCCCGACCCACAGGTTGAGAACCACTGCTCTAGAAAGAGTACAGAGAAGAGCAACAAAGATGATTAGGACTGGAGGCTAAAGCATATAAGGAACGGCTGCTGGAACTGGGTATGTCTAGTTTAATGAAGAGAAGGATGAGGGGGGACATGATAGCAGTGTTCCAATATCTCAGGGGCTGCCACAAAGAAGAGGGAGTCAAGCTATTTTCCAAGGCACCTGAAGGCAGGACAAGAAGCAACGAATGGAAACTAATTAAGGAGAGAAGCAACCTAGAACTAAGGAGAAACTGCCTGACAGTTAGAACAATTAACCAGTGGAACAACCTGCCTCCAGAAGCGGTGAATGCTCCAACACTGGACGTTTTTAAGAAGAGACTGGACAGCCATTTATCCGAAATGGTATAGGGTTTCCTGCCTGAGCAGGGGGTTGGACTAGATGACCTCCAAGGTCCCTTCCAACTTTTTTTTTTTTATTATTATTATTATTATTATTATTATTATTATTTAAAAACTACAAGGAAACAGAGTTTAAGAAGTAGGAGGAAGAGTCATTTGCATTACAATAGTCCTCAAGTTAGTACCATAACTGAACCCAAAATGTCTGTTGCTAAGTAAGACATTTGTTAAGTGAGTTTTGCCCCATTTCTTCTAAAGTTGTTAAGTGAATCACTGCCATTGTTAAGTTAGTAACATAGTTGTAAAGTGAATTTGGTTGTTCCCATTGAAGGACTCACAAGAGGATCGCATGACCCCAGGACAACGCAACCATCATAAATATGAGTCATTTATCTAATCCCTCTTGATTTCTGTCTTGAATTCACTTCTTTGTTCCTAAAATAACTGAGCATGATACCACAACTTTGCTGTTATGGGTAGAATTCACCATTTATTGTAAAGGCCAAGCATGTGATTGACTGAGAAGAGCAAGCGAGAACAGGCGGTTTATAGGCTAACAAACTCCAGATCTTGACCACTAATGTTATATAAAGTGCTTCTGAAATGAGATTCTTGCTCTGCAGCTCCGCATTAATCCAATCCTGGAAGAAAACAACTGCTTTTGGTAGTAGATTGGATTGTTAAAAGGTGGCAGCCTTAATGTGTCTGTCTCTCTCTCCTCTACTCCTGAGGATAATGCCAGAGAGAGTTTTGGAAGCACCAGCAACACTTATGTTTCTCTCTGGCCAAATACGCCTTGATATTTACAACACTAGACAAGGAAAGCTGTAACCCCTTTCTATATCCAGTGCATGGGATTTCCTGGCTGGAGAGGGAAAATCTCCATGAAGACCTCTTATAATTTAGAAAGATGTGATGGAGAGTCCTTTGTGCACAAAAAGTTTGTCCAAAATGTTAAGAATTGCCTTTTAGCAGGTCTTGATCGGGGTTTTCAAACTGTGCCTCAAAGGACCAGGGGTTTGCACAGAAAGAAAAAAAATGTTCTGTGAAAGACTAAGATTTTTTTTAAAAAAACAATCGCTCAAAACACAGCCAATTTTCTATCACTGGAACTCTGCCTCTCGATCAGATGTATTTTTTACTTATTTTTTTACTTATTTTCACATATGTTGAACTATAACTAAGTGGTTTAGGTTTGTAACCACAAGGAAAGAAAGCACAATAAAATCTAAGTATATTGTATTGTGTGAACGCCTTTAGTAGGATTTTAACTGGACTGGTTAAACATGTCATGAAAGAGAAAGGTTGCACATATGGGGTTTGAGCCTAGAGGCTGTTTTTTTTTACCCAGACTTTAGGAGCCAAATGGGCCTGCCCCACAGAATCTATACCTTCAGTTTTAATATATAAGAACAAGAATAACATACAAGTAGTCCTTGAATACAACAATCCGTTTACTGACCAAAGTTACAACAAAGTTACTAAAAGGGTGACTTTTTTCACACTTACGACCACTGCTGCATCCCCATGGTCAAGTGATCAAAATTCAGATGCTTGGCAACGGGTTCATGTTTATGATGGTTGCAGTGCCCTAGGGTCATGTGATCCCCTTTTGCAACCTTCTGACAAGCAAAGTCACTTAACAACCAGGAGTTTGGGATCCCTGCTTTACAGCATTCTCTGGGCGGTTTACAATGTCAGCGTATTGCCCCTGACCATCTGGGTCCTCATTTTACTGACCTCAAAAGGATGGAAGATTGAGTTACCCTTGAGCCCGTTAGGTGGTGAACAGAGTTAGCCTGCAATTCCAGTAGTGCTCAACTTAATAACAGTTCATTTAGTGATCATTTGAAGTTACAATGGCACAGAAAAAAGTTGACTTCTGACCGTTTTTCACTCTTATGACCATTGCAGCATCCCTGTGGTCATATGATCAAAATTCAGATGCTTGGCAACTGACTCATATTTATGACGGTTGCAATGTCCTGATGTCATGTGATCACCTTTTGCAACTTTCTGACAAAGTCAATGGGGAAGTCAGATTCACTTAACAACCGTGTTACTAACTTAATAACCGCGTTGATTTGCTTAACAACTGTGGCAAAAGGGTCATAAAATGAGGCAAAATTCACTTAATTGTCTCACTTAGCAACATAAATGTTGGGCTCAATTGCGGTCGTACGTTGAGGACTACCTGTATTACATTCTAACCACTGCACCACCAGGGCTTCTGGCGCAGTTATATTCTACTGCAGTCACTGTAGTATTAAGGTTTACATGTGTCTCGTAATATATTTATGGATTTAATTATACAGCATGTCTTGCAAATCCTTTGCCTTTTCACTGTTTCTTTTTTTCCTTAGTGCGACCTCGGTCATTACATAGGAGTGGGCCACCATGCAAAATTGCTAAATAATTTTGTTGGTTGGTTGGATAGCCTGAATATGCCATCTTCAAGACATCTGAAGATAACAGATACCCTATTTGATGGTGTAGAGGTCCGAGTGTATCAGCCAGATACACAGGTCAGCCAGAAGACATTACATCGCAGCATCATCTACATCCATGGAGGAGGATGGGCTTTGTTAAGTACAAGTAAGCCATCTTAAAGTGGGACTGCATGTTCTTTTTCTTGTTCTCCCCCATCTTGTGATCACTAACTCTCTACAGGTAGTCCTGCCTTGGCAATGGAATATCTGTCCCTAAGCAATGCAGTGGTAAAGCACAATGTCACGTGGCCACATCACTTAGCAATGACAATCCAGACAGTCCCCATTGCTGTTGCTAAGCAAGGAGCATGGCTTGTTAAGCAAGGAAATCCTCACAATTTCGTGTCACCTTCAACAAACTTAGTCAGTGGGGAAGCCGGCAGGGAAGATTGCAAATGGTGAACTTGTGACCGCTAGATACTGCAACCCTGGTAAGTGCATGCTGGTTGCCAAGTGCCCAGATCGTGAGATTATGACCACAGGGGAGCTGGAAAGCCAGAGCTTTGATAACTGGTCATAAGAACCATTCTGATCACAAGAACCACTCATTCGACCACCATTGTAGCTTTGAGTAGTCATTGAGCAGGTGGTCATTAACCAAGGATTACCTGTACAGTAGAAATCAGCAGCACTTAGAGTTTGAAACACAGAAGGTGCTTTGGAAAATAGCACTTACTTTCAGGATTTTAGAGAAGCTGCTTCTTCTCCCAAGAACCCTAGAAAAGGTGCAACTGCTTTAAAGTGACCTCCACCATCTGAAGCATCTTTCTACTCTTGAATCCATAATCCCAGTGGCAATTCATTTTCCCTAAATTAGATTGCTGAAAATAACGTGTGGAGGAAAACCAGGGCCAGATTGTTAAATGAAAAGACTTACGCTATCGCTTGATCTTTCAACCTTTTTAAAAAAAATTATTAAATTTCTGTGCCATCCATCTCCCCTACAAGGTAACTCTGGACTTTGTTTTCCAGAATTCTGTGGCCAGTTACCATAAAGTCCTGATTGGGTTGGTGGTTTTGATCTTGGGATTTTCCTTTTTTCTTTCTTTTTGAAATAGGGCTCGATTCATTGTTCAAGATTTCCTTTTTTTAAAAAAAAATTGGCAATCTTGGGATTCTCGAAAGCCCAACAGAAATGTTTTTGTACATCAATAATGTCATTTGCAGAATGTATACTTCTGCGAATATTATAAATAAAAATATCTGCTCTGTAGACATTCTGCAACTGTACTGTTAGTGTTAGCTTCTTTCTCATCCTTGGCTGTCTCTCACTGCAGAAAGAGGCACCTATAATCATCTCTGTGAGATTATGGCTGAATCTCTGGATGCTGTAGTTGTCTCAATTGAGTAAGTATGTTGCAAACAATTAAGAAACTGGTATGGGCTGGGTTTTATTGTCTTTTTATTGTTTGACAAGATTCAAGTAGAGGAAAGAAAGAGGAAAGAAAAATAAGTGCTACGTAGAACACTGAGAACTAAGGATAAAGTTCTGGAACAATGCATGCCATGCAGCTGAACTCAGTTCCATACACCGATCGTTATAGCTTTCTTGGCAAGAGTAAACAAATGAATCGCCTTCATTCGTGACAAATGGTTCCATCCATATTCATACCTGTACCAAAATAAGCTCTGATTTTAGCATTAAATACTGTATCCTGGGCTAAACCTTTGGTCATTAAATTACTTGAACCATAATGTGATGTGTTTGGTTTTCATCTTAGTTTCTGAAGTCTTACCTTCAGCGTTGGATTCCTTTTTAAAAAAAAAAAGTTTTATTGATTTTTAGGAATTACAATCTTTAGAGCTTAGTAAACAACATGTTGTCTGGCTTCACATATTTAACATTAACTTCTTCAATATAAGTCTATTCAGTACTGCACAATCCAGTATTTTTTCCCTGATCCTCCTTTCTTCCCCATATTTTTTCCATTTTCTCCTCATTACACAATTACAATTCTTGGCACTATTGATGTATACAGAGTTAAATATAAACATCTCCGTCATATTTTACTAATATATAAATAATAATATCAATTCATTAATCAATATCCTGTTTTTCGTGCTCTTGTTAAGGTTTAATTTCCCATCAATATTTAAAGTATCTTTGTCAGTTATGATTTTCTCAATATTCATTACATTTATACAGCTAAAAGGTTTATTCATACCAATCCTCTTATTTTCATATTTCCCATATCAAAAGAAGAGAAAAAAAATGCTATTTTAATTCTAAATCATATCTTTCATTATAAAAGTCTAAATATATCTAAGGGTCATCCGTTCTTTTAACCATATCAAACAAGTACTTAAACATATGATGCCCCCTCTAATAGATCAAATCTTCTGTTTTTTAAATCTAACTCTCGCTTTCTTTCTTTGCCAAGTAGCTTTCCAAGCCAAAGCAATTAAATCGCCCAAGAATTTTCTTTCTGTTTTTATGAAAGTTGCTTGGCATGAGAAAGATAATTTAGGTAGGGTATTTTTGAGGGGGAATTCCGCCCCTTTATGTTCCTTAAACAACTCCCACATTCCTTCTCTCGCAATTTCTCCCCTCATCTTTTGTCTTCCAAATTGTAACATTTCCCCTGACAGCTCTATGTTCCATTCCCCAAAATCTTCTTCCTTGTCATCAGGTGCATCTTGTAAGCTTAAAGGGTAAAGGGTCTTTTGCAATTTCATTGTTATGGGTAGATCTTGCAGTATTTTATTTGTGTATGGTAGTTTATATTTCCCTTCTTTCATCTCTTCTGCCTCTAGGTCCATTTCCTCTGCTTCATCTTCCGATCTCTGGTTTATTTGTTCATACTTTGTAGTCATTGTCTGGGAACTTTCTAGGCATAGATTTAATTTGGAGATTTGCTCATTTATATTATCTAAATTATGTTTAGTCTCATTGTGGTTTCTTTTAATGTCCTCTTTGTATGCAACAATTGTTTGGTGAACTAGTTGTAGCACAGAATATATTTCCTTCTGAAAGGTATTTGTTTTTTCTTGAGGCATCATTCCTGGAGATCCTCTAATATCACCAGTCTCAGTCTTTCTGGTCTTTATATGCAGCCTTTATAATCCAAAAGATTTTAGAATACAGGTCCAGTCCCCAAAGCAATATTTTATAGTGATCCTTTGTCTCAGGCAAGGTTATAATCCATAATGTTCAAAGTGTTCAGCCTCTCTGAAAACAGCTCAAACGTCTCTTCCAGTCAGTTGTAATCAAAGGTCAAGTTTTTCTTTCTCTTGAGATTTTCTTTCTAGCTCTTGAGATTAAAAGTCCAAGCTCAGTGGGTGTTTATAGTCCAATAAGATCAAGGTGATAAGTATGCCAAAATATTTTCCTTTATTGCCAGCTGTTCTCCCTTAGGTTAGGAATCATCAAGCAGGCAGGAAGCTAGTTATAGTGCTATACTCAGATCCATCATTAGATGTCATTCAAAATCCATTTTCCACTCTTAAAAGAAAGGATTGATTTCTTATGTTTCACCTCAAATGTTTTTTTAAGAGAAAATCTTAACAATTATCTCAGTTCTCAAATTTCAAAACTGTAGCTTTATGTTACTTCCACTTCAATATTATATATTTCTGTCCCCCATAGAAATTAAAATGCCGCTTCTGTTCACATTCAGAGGTTTTTAGCTTCTTGGGAGCCTTTCCCAGGAAATTCAGTTGTAAAATAGTAAAGAAAGGATCAATATTCTCAACCAGTTCCAAACATGCTGTTTACGATGTGTTAATTGGTACTTTTCTTCTTCGGTTGTCAGCAGCTAATAGCTGGCCATAGGAATGTAGCCAGTCTTTCCCCTGCCAGTTTGGAGGGCTTTTCTCGGATCAAACAGAAAGACCACCATCTCTCCGTGATCGACGAGACACCCCTCCTTCATCGCCTCTTTGGGGTGACTTTAGGCCCTTTTTAGGGCCCCCAACAGGGTGAAATCGGGCATGGGGAGGGTAGAGCCCTGCCTTTCTGCATCCGTCTAGCCGCAATGCAAAACTGGATTCAGCATTGGATTCCTTTTGTCTCTTGTTGGTCAATTAGGTAATTTGATGTAAATTTTCGTCTTTCCCTGCATCTCAAGTAACAAAACCCCAGTCTACTTTCTAGCCTTGGACAAGAATTTGACTAATGAAAGTCTCATTGCTCAGAAGGCCTTACTATTTCTGCCATAAGGCATCCCAAAAGTGCTCTTCAAAAGGCAGCTGGACTTTCTTTGTTTTTTTTTCCTTGAAGACCTTTCACTGCTCATCCAAGAAGCTTCTTCAGTTCAGCACTGAAGAAGCTTCTTGGATGAAAAGCAAAACCTCTTCCAGGTAAAAACAAAGAAAGTTCAGCTGGGTTTTGAAAGGCACCTTTGGGACAACCATGACCTGGATGACTGAGAATCTCCATAGACATTTTGCCAAAAGGATCTTGTTCAAGTTGTCTTCTGAACTAATGAGATACCTGCTCCAGAATTTTTATATGCCATTATTGGCTGACTATTAATGTGGATGAGCAGTTTCAAGTCTTAGAATGATTTCCACCTCGAATTCAGGTCGACAACACACCAACCCACCCAAAAGTGGGTTTTTCCTAGCAAAGATGTGTTAACATTTACAATCAGCTTAGGCTAATTCTTGTCCATGTGCCTATTCCCCCACATTTACAGCAGCATAACATAGGCAGGCCTATCTCCCAGCCAGCACCCTGTTGAAGTTTCAGATACCTATTTTTTAAATTTATTTAAAACGGCAGAGCGGCGGGAGAGAAAAGATACAAAGAGATGTCAAAGTGCAGCTATTGCATGAAAAAGTTTGCAGAACGGTTGGTAGATGATAAAATTAGAAGAAAACACAAAATACTCCATTGGGAGGGAGCTAACATTGTTATCTTTATATATCAAGCTAGATTAGAACTAATGTAATGTTCTATGACAAACAAAAAGAAAATGTCATGATAACTTAATGCTTTAACCCTTTTTAAAATTATTACGAAAATCAGATTAAAGATTAGCTAAGGCAATTATGCAACAGAAGTAAACAGCCATGATTAAAGAGCTTAGAAACCTTATTTTAGGGAACCCCAACCTTGGACATAGAAGCAAGCCAAATCATAATCCATAAATGCAGGCTGAATTGAATTTACTGTAACCTCAGCCTTGTTTTATATTTAGTTATTTTTGACACTGATACATACCTTCAAATTATGGCTTTGTGTGTTTGTGCATCCAGCCCATGTATATGTGCTTGTTTAAACTATGATTGATTCCCTAATTAATATTTGTCATCAGATATTTCTTCTTCTTCCTGTTCCACTCTAAAAACTCACAAGCTACACTGACACAGTCCAGTGATGCATATACTAATCAAAGAGCATGGATTTCTCCAACATGCTAAATCATAATTAATGCAAGCTGAACCTGCTTCACAAATACATTTGTTAGGTCTTTAACCGACTTTGTGGAGCCTAGACCTAATAAGAGTTATTAGGGGGCTCTGCCTCTTTTTCCTCTGTGATAGTGTCATTCCAAGTAGTGACAAAATATCAACAACCAAATGTAAATGTTGTACATGTTCATCTCCTTGAAAACAAACTCCAGAAAGACAAACATTTTCCAGATTTGGTCCCCTGAGCATCTCTTACACTCATTTAGCTCCCTCATTATCTTACCACGCCTGTTTTTCAGATTCATGTGGGGTTTCCAAATCCAACTGCAGTTGTAACTTCCCCCTGAGATCCACAGATTTCAAAACCTCAGAGAGATCCCCTAACAAGAATCTTTCCTGAATGCAAAGCTAAAATGCTTTGAGCTATTCAGACCTCAAGTCCTGCTGTCCAGCCAGGGTCACGTTGCTTGTGTTTCAAAAGTTGGTTGAACCAGTACTGAACTCTAGCCATAAGTGGAAAGTCCTACAGTATGTTTGCTTGAGAGAGGAGGGACACAGTTACTAGAAACCAGATTTTTTTTAACTTGAGCAACCACTATGTTTCTAGGCTAGATGACAAAAAAATGGGATTTGTTTCCCCATTAAAAGAACCAGCGAAGCATAAGTCAATAGAATAGTTTTGATTGAAGAAGTAAGTTGTATCGCATAACAATTTTGTCCAGCTTCTCCTTGTCTCAAACATTAATAAAGGATGGATCAGAAGCAGTGGTTTAGAGGTGTCCTTTCCCAGCACCAGGTTGCATTTTCTCTTTGATGTTGGATGGATGTGAGGTCCTACAGGACAAGGGGATCTGGTTGTAGATGTCAGATTGAGAGAGGCAAAGAAGAAGTGACTTTGTTTTCCATAAAATACTAGCAATCTGGGACTCCTAAAGCTGTAGACACCACTTTCTGAATAAAATTGCCAAGGGTCATCGGTGTTAAACTCTTAATGAAATAGAAGGTGCTATATCTGCTTTATTGAAGGGTTGAATTTTGTTGTTGTTGTTAAATAAAATTAAAGGCTTGTATCTTCTGAATGGGACAAGAGCTGGCTAAGATGAGCTGTTTCTTGAAACAATAGCCTGTTTCTGTAAATGAATTAATCTAAAATTAGAAACACAGATGCCTTTTTCCGTTCCCTCCACTGAAAGCAAGCATTTCATCCTTGTCTAACTCAAGGCAGCCAGTGTCCTCTAGTGGCTTAATATTTGAATGGCAAATACTAGAAATGAAATTTAGCCTTTCTGAACTCTTTCCCTTATCAACAGAACAAATTATGATTTGGGCTGCTTCCCACAGTGCAAATCCATAATGTGATTTGTTTAGTTTTGGCTTAGTGTAAGCTGTGGATCCTGCTGCCGCCAACAAATCATCATTTAGGCTAGCCGTGGTCATTTATTTTACAAACTATGATTAAATGAAGCGAGACATACATGAAGTGAGAGTTGGCTGGTCACTAAACACAAGTGGGATGTTGCTTGGTGCGGAGGAATTCTCTTATGAATACTCCTTAAAAAGGGATAAAGACATGCAATTGTGAGAGTGAAGATTTTGGTGAGAAATTTGATGAAAATGATGTGATTGGATGGTTTGCTAATTTTGATGGTGATGAGGTGGAACTCTCTTACTTAAAGAATGGGCAGGACCTTGGAATTGCTTTTAAGATCCCTAAAGAAGTTCTTTCCGAACGGTCCATTTTCCCACATGTCCTCTGGATTCTGGATCTGCCATAACTGTGCAATGGAATTCAACTTTGGTCAGAAGGATGAGCCTTATTGTCCCATACCATTCATCCAAAATGTTAATCTGGAAGATAAAGTTTGAAGACCCAAAGGACCAGAACATAAGAAAGACTGTGAAGTGGTCACGATGATTGGTTTGCTTGGGGCTGGGAAGACTAAATGGCTCACCCAAACATTCAGCAGACAATCCTGGAAAATACAACATCCTTGGAACAAATACTATTATGGACAAAATGGTGGTTGCATGTTTTAAGCGGCAAATGGCTGACATTGGAAAACTTAACACACAGCTTCAAAGAGCACCTCAGTGACTTGGCAAATTTATTGAGATTGCTGCTTATAAGAAACGGAATTTTATTCTGGATCAGACAACTGTGTCTGCAGCTGTTCAGAGGAGATGTATTGTGATATACTGTATGAACTTAGCTTTTGAGTGCAATCAGAAGTAGATATGTACCTGTTTTAGGTACTGCCTCGCATATTTTACATAGGGTAATTTTAAAGTGGCATAGTTAAACCATGAATTATTCATTATATTTCTGCCTAGACTTAGTTTACATATCATATAGCCTTACACTTTTGATATTTCTTTATTATTCTGACTTTTGGTATCTACTGGAGCAATCCTGACTATATTTGACTGGCTTCGTATGTCTATCCCTTCTTATTATAATATTTCCTATTCTTTTGCACTCTACTGTTCTATGCTGGTCTTTGGCCACAATAATCTTTACATTCAGATTTAAAGTAAATGTGCTACATTGTGTGGCTTGCACGGCTAGGAGGCATGCTTCAGGATTTGGTTTGCTGTGAGATTTTTTTTTAAAAAAATGCCCGTTGTTCTGCCATTAGTGCTGATGAAAATTTTGTTCTTCCCATAAGATAATGTCATTAATTTTGGAGAACAAGTTTCCATAGATGCTTGGGGCTAACACAGACTGCATAACATATGGGCCAAGCAAGTGGGAGCTTTCACTAAGCTAGCACTCATGCAATTCTTCCCACCCAAGAATCTTCAGAAATTGTCAGATTATAATGTCAGCCATCCCTAGCCATATGGCCAATAACCAGAAATGATGACAGTTGTATTTCATAGCTGGGAAAGGCTGTGGCCATTTCCTAGCTCTTCCCTATTTAATAATTAATTAAATGAAAAGTTATCTTCACAAGAGCAGAAGTAGATTCTAAGACAAGGTTTTTCAATTTTGGCAACTTTGAAGATGCATACTGGCTGGAGAATTCTGGGAGTTGAACTCCACTCATGTTAAAGTTATCATACTTGAAAAGCACTGCTCTAAGATAACAATCACTTTATTTTTTCTGTGTATTTTGGACAGTAAAATCAGCAACTCATGACATGGATCACAAGCAGGACATCCTTTTTTCCTGTGTGCAAAATATTCCCCATGACACTATTCTTTCTAACTGTGTCCCAACCACTCCCTGTTTATTTTCTTCCTCTGTTGCTGATAACTGCATTCTGTAATTGGTCATTTTGACTGTCATTTTGGCAATCCATCATGACTTATAAACCCTGGCTTGTCTCAACACAAAATCCTTTTCTTTGCAGTTACAGGTTAGTGCCAGATTTCCACTTCCCGGCACAGTTTGATGATGTCCTCCGAGCCAGCAAACATTTTCTGCTGCCAGATGTCCTAGCTCAATATTCTGTTGATCCCACCAGAATCGCAATTTCTGGTGATAGCGCGGGAGGCAACCTGGCTGCTGCTGTGTGCCAAGAGGTAAGAAATGTTCTGGGTGACCTATACACAGATCCATCCTCACCTGTGCAGAAGTTGCCAGGATTGCCGGCGAAGACGCATTCACTTTGTATGGGAAGGTTTTAATGGTCAATTCTTGACTGCTCCCATGTAAAGGATTGGAAAATGGAGAAGGGGACAATTTCTGAAAAGCCAGGATAGAGGATGGATGGATGGATGGATGGATGGATGGATGGATGGATGGATGGATGGATGGATGGATGGATAGATAGATAGATAGATAGATAGATAGATAGATAGATAGATAGATAGATAGATAGATAGATAGATAGATAGATAGATAGATAGATAGATGCATAGATAGATGCATAGATAGATGCATAGATAGATGCATAGATAGATGCATAGATAGATGCATAGATAGATGCATAGATGGATGACATAGATACATAGGTACTGTACATAGATATTAGAGAGCCAGTTTTAGGTAGTCATTTAGGTACCAGATTAGAAACTGGGAGACTTTGAGTTCTAGTCCCATTTTAGGCATGAACCTTGGTCCAGTCCCTCTCTCTCAGCTTTAGGAATAAGAAAGCAAGGGCAAGCCATTTCTGAAATCTTGCCAAAAAAAAGAATGTGTGTGTGTGGGTGGGTGGGTGGGTGGGTGTGGATGTGTTTCTGTAATGTGTGTGGGTGTGTTTCTAAAAGTAGCTTAGCTTGTATAAAAAAGGCCCATATGCTATCTTGAGACCAGCAAAAGTTATGAATGTCACAGCTACAAGAGAAATCAGCCTTTGGAATAATGCATGTTTAACCAAATAAAACCATTGTGTCATTCTTCCTTCCTTTTTAGTTAAGAGGCTAAAAGCAGTTTCATCTCCCCTTCACAGAAGTCTAGCTTCTCAGTCTATTTTATTGGCAGTTCTTTTAATATTTTAGTGTAGATGTCATAAAACGTGCTCTGTAGGACCCTTCTTCCAAGGAAGCAGTAAAAGTGCAAGGGTTCTCTCATTGCTTGAGTTCACACACTCCATTAAAATAATGATTTCTTTCTGGCAAAAAAATAATTAAATAAACAACCAACCACCCATAGGAGTAATGGATTTGTTTTACAAATGCCACAAGAAAAGTCATAAAATCAGGTCTGGTCTCATGGGTGCCTTGACTTATGGCCATCATGACTTATGACAGAAATCCCATTACGCATATCCCTTTTACTACTATGAACTTTCTATCTAGAACAAAGAAATATAGGTTCTCCTGCTTGAGCAAGGGGCTGGACTAGAAGACCTCCAAGGTTCCATCCAACTCTATTCTACTAATTAAGGAGAAATAAACTTTCTCTGGGTTCCTCCCTTCTCTATTGTTAATATACCCTATCCAAAACATTAACCTTTCAGAAGTATTGGACTATACATTTCCTCTTTTCCAGGCCATTATGACAGTTTGCCACCCTAATGTGAGCTGTGCAACACATTGAGTTTACAAAAAGCTTCCAGTTAACAGTTCCATACCCTAATCCAGTCATACATCTTAACTCCTTAGTCTACGCTTTCCACTAATCTGTAATGTGATCTCTTTGTTTTCGGTTAGTGTATTGTGTAAAACCCACCTAAAAAAGTGAGATTTATTCAGTAAAAGAAAATATATGCTCCCAGACAAAAGCTGTTTGTTGCAATACAGGAGGTGTGTGGGAAAAGCCTACAGCATTGAATTTAGGCTAGAGGTGGTGTTTTAATCACGTATTGCAGGATTCTTTCAGATTCAATAGTAAGTGGAGAAATTATTTTGATTGATTTATAGTGTTCAATAATAATAATAATAATAATTTAATTTGTACCCCGCCCTTCTCCTCACCAGACTCAGGGCGGCTAACAGCCTTGTAAAACCACAATACAATAAATATCCATTAAAACCAAATTAAAAGAAAATATTTGAAGCGGCCAATCGTTAAAATTAACCTTTAAAATACCCTTAAAAACCCCACTAAAATTCCCTAGGCCAGACCCGCTTGTTGAAAAAGCCATGTCTTCAAAATGGAACGTTACTAACTGGGTGACAAAATTTATTTCACTTCCAAGTGCCTCTAAATGATATGACCAATCTAAGTGGCAATGATTTGAACCCCAATGGACTTCTTCATACGCTGTTGCTGCTCCGTGCATAATGTTGGGGCCTGATCCCAGGCACTGAGTACCTAATCAGGCATAATAATTATCCTTATGGATTGAAGAGATAGGCTGTCCTAGCAGATTATTTGTGAGACTAATTGGGATAATATAAGACTACTTAACTGCAATCCTCTCCATTCTTTCCTTGACATAACTTTAGGTTTGTTTACTTAATTGTGAAATATTGTAAGCACAGGAAATTATGTTATTATACATAATTATATATTAAATTATATGTCATTCAAGTAAAGTAATAACCTTCTTTGAGCTTAAAGTTGGCCAATTTGTGATCTGTCTAATCAGAGTCACTCTTGGAATAGAATGCAGAATAACATGATTAGAAGGGACCTTGGAGGTCTTCTAGTCCAATCCCCTGCTCAGGCAGGAGGCCCTATACCATTCCAGACAAATGGATTTCTAATCTCTTCTTAAAAACCTCCAGTGACAGAGCACCCACAACTTCTGAAGAAGCCATTCCACTGATTAATTGTCCTCACAAACAGGGAATTTCTCCAACTAAACTATGGGTCAGTGTGTTTGGGGTCTATAGGTTGTTTGACTGCATCACTCCCTGTTTTCTCTCTTCTTTCTACAGATAAGTCAAGAGGAGAACATGACCAATAGATTTAAACTTCAGGCCCTAATCTATCCTGTCCTTCAGCCTTTTGATTTTAATACTCCTTCATACCAACAGAACAAACTCAGCCCGATCCTCTCACGCTTAGTGATGGTGGAGTTCTGGATAGAATATTTCAATGGAAGTTATGATTTTGTCCAGCCCATGTTGATGAACAATCATACATCTCTGGATGTGAGCGAGGCTAATTCCTTCAGAGACCGACTAGACTGGACTTTTCTCCTGCCTTCAAGATTCAGGAAGGATTACAAGCCCGTAATTCACACCGTAGGGAAATCTGAAATCATCCAGAATATTCCTGGCCTATTAGATGTCCATGCAGTTCCGCTTCTGGCTGAAAAAGAGCTTTTACGCCTGCAGCCCAAAAGTTATATTATGACTTGTGAGATCGATATTCTGAGAGATGATGGTCTCATGTATGCCAAGCGGTTAGAGAAAGCAGGTGTGGACGTCACTATTGACCACTTTGAAGACTGTTTTCATGGCTGCATGCTCTTCACCATTTGGCCACTTAATTTTTCTGCAGGACTTCACACCAGAGACAGCTATTTCAAGTGGCTGAATGAAAACTTGTGAACAGAGATAGATCAGTCTCTAGAAAAGCAATTCGTGCTGCTGATTTGAAGACATCGCTAGAGAATTTCCAGTACAGGATAGCATGCTGCCCTTTACATCTTCTGTGACCCATGATTTATGGAGAAAAGTCTTGTGTAATCTCCAGAATCCAATTCTAAATGTAGTTGCAAGGAAATAAATCTGGTCTTAGTGGAGGCAGTAGAAAAAGGTGGCTAAATAATCCATACCCCTGCAGACTACAAGACAAAAATGTTCTCTGTGAATATAGTTTTATATAAAAGTTTCTTCAAGAAGAACATTGACAAATCAGTGAAAAAACCAATCATTCCTAACCTTGATTTCCTACATTGAATTTCTACATACAAGAAGAATTTCTTCTCCCTATGGGTATTCATGAGGAATGAAGCAAAGGGATGCGTACATGACATCATTGCATATTTATATCCGATAGCAAAATGCCAGTGGATCCATCAGAATGCCAAATGGCCTTCAATTTGGCATAATTATATATTGCTGCAAATGTTACTGCTTCCCCACCCCCCCAAAAAAGTAGAGAGGGCATAGTTCATTGTTAAAGGATATGTTTTGAATGCAGAAGGATCCAAATTCATTCCATCTCTAGAAGTATGCAAAATAATCCATTCTTGGTAATAAAAGCTCACTGGAAGTGTTCTGTTATTACCTTATCCATCCTATCGGAAGTGATCCATTTTAAAAAAGATTATTTTAGGGCTGGATCTTTGTAATCCAGGGACATTTTGCATATCTTTTAATTCCCAGCATCTCTAGGGAAACAAAATGGCCTGTAGCTATAGAAACATACTATTCATTCTCTCATTTAGGTGGCTTCTAAAGGAGACTAGACATATTCCTAGAGAACAGCAATGTCTGTGGTCATTAATAGCTTAGTCACACGGGTGTCAAACTGCCGGCCCATGGGCTGGATGCGTCATGGCGAAACCACACCCATCCTATTGCCGGCAATGGAAAAAAAGTTGCGATATGTCATGACCATGACACATCACATGACGTTGCAAGTTTGACACCCCTGGGCCTTAGTAGGTGCAATGGAGTCTCTATGTACCAGATTCATAGGAACAGCATTGGGACAGGAGGCTGCTATAATCTCTGGGCTTGCTGGAGCTTCTAATGGGCTACTATGAGTTGAATACTACTAAATGGGTGTGGTGCCCATCCTTCCCCCCCTAAGCAAGAGTTCTACAGGTGTTTATTCAAACTCCCCAAACAGGTGCTTAGAAAGCATCCCCATTGTACAGATCCGGATTCCAAGCTCAGCACAGCAAGAGCCACTGGGTAACTGTGTCCAAGAGGCACACACAAAGTCCAGGAAAGCAACCCACAATTCAAACATAACAGCACAAGCACACAAAGCACAGAACTGGGCACGTTGCTCTAGCAATACTCAAGTCCTCAGAGCGAGATTAAGTAGACTAGGGGTAGTCAACCTTGGCTCTTTTATGACGCGTGGACTTCAACTCCCAGAATTCCTGAGCCAGCTAAGCTGGCTCAGGAATTCTGGGAATTGAAGTCCACGCGTCATAAAAGAGCCAAGGTTGACTACCCCTGAAGTAGACAATACCCGGTGCAGCCTTTCATGAGGGGTGAGGTTACCTCCTCATGAGTAGCCTAACTAACTGGTGTTGCACCTGTCTCATCTCTCTTCTAGGTGTCCTTCGAGCAGGAGGAAGTATGGACTCCACCATCTTCTAATTGCTAATGGGCAGCAGCTGCTCCTGGTCCTTGTCTGGAGCCTCCTGGCCAACTTATTCAGCCTTAGCCCAGCGGTTCTCAACCTATGGGTCACGACCCCATTTGGGGTCGATCGACCATTTCACGGGGGTCGCCAAGCAACGCTGTCCGCCATTTTTTTCCCCTTTTCCGGCGGGTGCCTTATCTCCCTTGAGCTGGGCCAGCTGGTGGTCGGCCTGCTCCATCTCTGCCGCTTACCAGCTACGCCTCGGCCGGCGCAGGGGGTGGAACCACGCATGCATGGCGCTCCCGGGCAGGGAAAGTCCTCGATTTACGACCGGTTTAGTCCTCGACTTACGACCGGTTTAGTCCTCGACTTACGACCGGTTGGGGGTCGCGGCATTAAAAAGGTTGAGAACCACTGCCTTAGCCTGTCACTCTGATCACTGATCGACCCAGTTAAGGCTGCTCCATCTGGCCAGCACCCTCTCAGCCCCGATCCTGACCAATACTCAGCTACACACTTTCCTCTGGAGACTCAAACTGGTAGTAATAATAATAATAATAATAATAATAATAATAATAATAATAATACAAAGTCAAAATTGAGAAGACAGCAACAGACAGTAAGTGCCGCCTATGCAAAGAAGCTGAAGAAACAGTGGACCACCTGGTAAGCTGCTGCAAGAAGATCGCACAGACTGACTACAAGCAGCGGCATGACAAAGTAGCAACTATGGTGCATTGGAAGATCTGCAAGAAATATCATTTGCCTGTAAGCAAAAACTGGTGGGATCATAAAATAGAGAAAGTCATAGAAAATGAAAAAATTAAACTGCTCTGGGACTTCAGAATTGAAACAGACAAGCACCTGCAACATAACACCCCGGACTTAACAATTGTCGATAATAAAGACAAAAAAGTCTGGATAGTGGACGTGGCAGTGCCTGGAGACAGCAGAATAGAGGAGAAAGAACTGGAGAAGATAACAAAATACAAAGACCTACAAATAGAAATAGAAAGACTGTGGCAAAGGCAAGCAAGGGTAGTACCAATAGTAATAGGCGCCTTGGGTGCAATCCCAAAACAACTGGAGCACCACTTGAACACCATTGGCATTGACATATTCGCCATTAGTCAATTGCAAAAGGCGGCCTTACTAGGGACTGCTTCCATCCTGCGACAATATCTGTAATACCATCAAACATCCACATCTGCTTATCCCAGGTCCTTGGTAAGGACTCAATAGGTAGACAAAATGCCAAATCCAGTCTGAACATCTGGCTGACTGTGCGATGATCCATAATAATAATAATAATAATAATAAAAATAATAATAATAATAATAATAATAATAATAATAAAAAAGTTGGAAGGGACCTTAGAGGTCATCAAGCCCAACCCCCTGCTCAGGCAGGAAACCCTATACCATTTCGGACAAATGGCTGTCCAGTCTCTTCTTAAAAACTTCCAGTGTTGGAGTATTCACCGCTTCTGGAGACAGGCTGTTCCACTGATTAACTGTTCTAACTGTCAAGAAGTTTCTCCTTAGTTCTAGGTTGCTTCTCTCCTTGATTAGTTTCCATTCGTTGCTTCTTGTCCTGCCTTCAGGCGCTTTGGAAAATAGCTTGACTCCCTCTTCTTTGTGGCAGCTCCTGAGATATTGGAACACTGCTATCATGTCCCCCCTCGTCCTTCTCTTCATTAAACTAGACATACCCAATTCCAGCAATCGTTCCTTATATGTTTTAGCCTCCAGTCCCCTAATCATCTTTGTTGCTCTTCTCTGTACTCTTTCTAGAGTCTCAACATCTTTTTTATGTCATGGTGACCAAAACTGGATGCAGTATTCCAAGTGTGGCCTTACTAAGGCATTGTAAAGTGGTATTAACACTTCATGTGATCTTTATTCTATCCCTCTGTTAATGCAGCCTAGCACTGTGTTGGCTTTTTTGGCAGCTGCAGCATACTACTGGCTCATATTTAAATGATTGTCCACTAGGACTCCGAGATCCCTCTCACAGTTACTACTATTGAGCAAGGTATCCCCTATACTATACCTGTACATTTGGTTTTTCTTGCCTAAATGTAGAACCTTATTTTTTTCACCGTTGAATTTCATTTTGTTAGATAGCGCCCAGTGTTCAAGTCTGTCCAGATCCTCCTGTATCCTAAGCCTGTCTTCTGGAGTGTTAGCTATTCCTGCCAGCTTGGTGTCTGCAAATTTGATGAGTTCCCCATCTATCCCATCGTCCAAATCCTTGATGAAGATGTTGAAGAGCACTGGGCCCAGAACAGAGCCCTGGGGCACCCCACTACACACTTCCCTCCATGTAGATGTGGTTCCATTGAGGACCACACGCTGAGTACGGTTGGTCAGCCAGCTACGAACCCATCTGGTGGTGATGCTGCCTACCCCACATTTTTCTATCTTATCAAGTAGTAGGTTGTGATCTACTTTGTCAAATGCCTTACTGAAATCTAAGTAAATTATATCCACAGCATTCCTCTCATCCACTAATTTTGTCACTTGGTCAAAGAATGCAATAAGAATGCAATGCCTTCCTCCTCTGAACTCACATCTGGAGGCGAAGGGGGGGGTTGCAGATCAATGACAATGGGTTTAGGATTGATCCAGTAGGGCTAATGTCATGTTTTCATATCAGCATTGGCAACCCTAAACTAAATTGACCAAGGTTCAAGCAAATTTATGGGTCATTCTAAACCATAATGTAGTTTATTTAGGTTTGGCCGAGTGTTTTTTGTGAACCCAGCCAATGATAGCTAAATGATGACCTAGCATGACATCAAATGAGATTTGGAAGCCTCATGAGAGTTGGGAAATTTTAAAACTTCGATTTGGGGATGGGGTCAAAAGACTCCGTTCTGATAATTGTCTTTGTTCTTGTCCGTACTACATTATCAACCCTTGTACTAGCATACTCTGCTGTACCTGATTTCTAAATAATGTCAATTGTTGCAACACTTGCTTTGCATGCATGCAAATATATATATATGAAATACTGGATTCCAAACCTTTTTGGAGATGACACACACATTTGGAATTCAGAGTAGGTCTAAGTGTGTGTGCAAAATAATTAATAGCAACAGCGCTTGCTTATGGGAGAAACAGCTGCCAAATTTAGTTTGATGCTTCTGTAACCAGTACTTCAGAAGCTGTCTCCTGGACAAGTTAGCACGTTTTCCAGTAAGTGCCAATCATGTATAAAAGTAGATGGATTCTCAATCTTTGGCAGAAACACCACTCAAGAGCAGATTAGCTATTCAGAGGGATTTCTAACCACTAGCAGCAATTTGAAGTAAGTCACTAGCAAGGGTTGGTGCCAGGTCAGTAGGTCTGAGGCAGGAATGCGGTCTAGGCCAGGAGCGCTAGAGTTCCTATCTTGCAGAGCCATGGTGACCTCTGGCCTCTGATGATAACCAGAATGGACCACAACACAATGTGGGCTTTTCATCATTGATGGCACTAAGGGTCTTGAAGACTGATGACAAGTAGCTTTTCAATTTCAGTGGGACAGGAGCGGGGCCTTGGTACACATTCTTCCAGTGCCCTGAGAATATGGCTGATTGGGGAATTCTGGGAGTTGAAGTTCACACATCTTAAAGTTGCCAAGATTGAGAAACATTAATATGATTTTAAAAAAACGTATCAGGGGTGGCTGGGAACTGGACAGTGTCAAGAAAGGTCTCTGCAAGCACCATGTTGAAGACTCCAGGGGTCAATGCACTGAGGAAAATGGGCTGTGTTTCTGTGTCAGTTGTCTGCAAATCATTTTAGTCAAGACTAATGCAAGCAGTTTGCTCCTTATAGGATTTGGCAGCCCTCCTAGAAGCTGCAGATGTTGTGTATACCTTCCTTCTATCGGATTACATATTGATCCAAGAGTTGTCTTTGTGCAGGTTTTTCAAACTTTTGTGTTGCTGTATAAAGATATTG